AATATATTGCACAATAAATTGTTGTTTTTACTGTTTGCCAAATGCATTGAAAAGGTTTCCCGGGTCCCCGGAATCTCCGTGTCCCTTTAACCTAATAATCTTCAATAAAGTTACCGTAGAAAACTTCTCTGGCTCTTCGTTCCTTCGGTGTGAAAGGTCCTCCGAGTGCTTCTGGGTAGGGAAGCGTGAGCGGAAACGTTTGATATGAAGTTACAGAACTTGAACATTAATGTTGAAGCCACAAAACAATCCAATAAGAATTGACGACTAGAAGGTACTGACAATAAAAAAAGCAGCTCAGGCAACAGTACTCACCCTTAAAGTGTTATTAAACCCTCCGGTGTTTTTGCACATACTGTGATATATATATATATACTGTGTTTCCCCGAAAATAAGACACTGTCTTCTATTTTTTTAGCCCCCAAAAACCACACTGGGTCTTATTTTAGGGGATGTCTTTTTTTTTTTTAATGTGCAACAATCTAAAGTTATTTGGTGTCACTCCGCCTGTCGCAGTAACCAGCGCTATAGAGGAAGTATCGGCTAATGCGGCTCTGCTCCCTCCGCCGCCGCAGCCTTGCTTTCTACAGCGCCGGCTTCCTTTACCATCAGGGACAGCGGTACCAGCGGTGGGGACATTAGACAGTGGACAGCGCGGTAAAGTACGGTGCCACTTACCGGTACACATTACTGGCCCTCAGGGGGACAGCAGTCGGTGAAGTATGGTAATGGAGTGCTCCCTGTCACTGCGCTGGCCGGAGGGAGTCCCCCGTCATCCCCTCAATACAGTGTGTCCCTGCAGGCCGACACCATCTCTTCTGCAAGTTCCCCCCTCACAGGCCGCCACCAAACCAGGTCTTATTTTCGGGGAAACAGGGTATATGTGAGGCTAGCAGGCATTAGATATATGCAAAAAAACTTAAACAAAAAAAAAAACAACCCACTTTAAAAGAGATTAATACCTCCCCGTTAGACATGTGCACTGCCAAAAAATTCGTTAGTTTCGTTTCATTCTAAATTCGGATTTGTCTTATTTCGTTTTTCAGGATTCGGGTGTGAAAGTCAATTCGGAATTCGGACGAAATTCGGTAGCGTTAGTACGAACGTTCGTTTCGTTTTCTGTTCTTATTCGTTTCGTTCGCATGCAGCAAAAGTGACATTTGAGGGGGAAAAAATATTTTTCTACTTCTCTAATGTCACTTTGCTCCAACGAACGAAACGAATAAGAACAGAAAACGAAACGAACGTTCGTACGAACGCTACCGAATTTCGGAAATGGAAATTCGGATTCGTTTGCATTTGTTATGTCTGTAATTCGGATACATCCGAATGTCCGAATTTCCGAAAATGTGTCCGAATTTCCGAAAATGTGTCCGAATTTCGATTCGGAACGAAACGAATCGCACATGTCTATTCCCCGTGTCTTCCCCGCGCGCTCCCGTCTGAAAACGTGAAACTGATCAGGCGGCCGCAAAGCATCTTGGGGCGGGCGCATGCGCAGTTCACATTTTCGGTCGGGAGACGCAAGGTAAGTCTATGGACGGCGTGCAGCCGCATGCAGACACCGCGGGATCAGAAGTGCCGGCAGGGACCGAGGAGTCGGCGCTGGATCGGAGAGCCGCCGCAGCGCTGGAGAGATGGCTGAAAGCGACAGGAAAGAAGATCGGATTAAGAGACATTATTTAAGGTAAGTGCTGACATTAACATGGGGGGGGGGGGGGGG